CAGGAGAGACTCTGGTAGCCAAGAAGGACTCAGGGAGGAGTTCGAACGAACAGAAACTGAGGAGGTCGGTGGGCTTGGTGACGGCGTGGAGGCCAGGAGCGTGGGGGAAGCCGACCCGGGCGTGGTGGGCGCCACATCCTTCACGGGCCCCCCGCAGGGCCGCTGGGCTCCCGCAGGTGCCGCTTCGCACACGTCCCCAGGGCCTTCTTGCCCTAAGGGCTGGGGGAGGCCTCCGTGGTCAGGACGCCGCCCCCGGTGGCTGCAGGAGACAGGAGGCACACGCTGCGGCCCGGACAGCCAGGCCGGGGGTGGCCAGCACGGCCCTCTGGGCCCCCCACCCCCACCCCACCTTGCACAGTGCTCCCACTGCCCCTCCCCCCAGGGCCGTGTCACTCCCCGTCCCCAGGGCTCCCCCGCCCCCCACAGGCCTGGGGCCCCACCCGAGGCTCTGAGAAGCCCACCCGGGAGCGAAGGGGGCAGATTCTTTACCTTTGCAGAAGGGAAACCAGGTCCCGAACCCCATCCAGTTCTTGCAGACAATCTCTGCAGGCTGGAGACAGGAGACCGGGTCACAGAGGTGCAGGCCAGGCCCCGGGGGTCTTACAAGGAGGCTGGGGGCTATGTCTCTTTAGGGGAGACCTTTGGGGGATTAGACTTGGGAGCCCCAGACATCAGTGTCCAAGGCCACATGGTCTCGCAGTGACAACAAGACTCGTGGGGACAGCTTCGTCCTTTACAAAGAGCTTCCCCGTTCATGACTTGGGGGGGGTGGGGGGGGTGAGAAAGGCCCGGTCGCCTCCCAGAGGAACTTGTCCACAGCTGGAGCCGGGGGTCCCGGGGTCCTGGCGGGCGGCACCCGGGTCCAGCCCCTGGGCTTGTTCTGGCCCAGAATCTGGGAGGCGTCGGGGTTCCGCCCTCGGTCCCCGGCGCCTCCGGGGCTCTGTTTCCTGAGGGACGGACCGGGGTGTCCTGGAGACGGTGGGGATGGGCGCTGGAGGGACACCAGCCAGGGGCGCAGGGCTGAGTGGCAGGCGCTCACCTTTCAGAAGTTCGCTTTTCTTCTTGTCTCTGATGCTCCTGCGCCTCAGCTCTACCTGCTGGTGAGACAGAGAGCATGGGGGGGGGAGGGGCTGGGACCCCCAGTCTCTCCTCTCCGGCAGCAGATGCTCCGTGTTCATGAGCAGCGTGACTTCCTACCTTCAACTAATGGGGGGGGGGGGTTGGCTTTCTTTCTTCTTACTCATTTTCAAAGTGGGTATTTTCAGTTTTTCTACTTGAAGAATGTACACAAGGATTTTCTCTGCGAGAAATTTCTCGGTCCCTGTTCTGCTCAAGGAACATTCCCGGACCTGCGGGTGCATCTCAGCTCCTTCGGGTGGGACCCTGCTTCCCGAGGCCAGGGCCCCACCGCTGGCCCTGCTGGGGCCCCCCGGGCTCGGCGCTGCCCTCCACCAGCCCCCGCAGGGCAGAGTTCTCCCGGGACGCCTGCCCCGGGGAGGGGGCTGCCGGCCCAGGGCTGGGGGCCGGTCCTCCGCTGGAGACGGAGCGCTTGGCCTCAGTCCTCTGCTCACTGCCCGGGACGTGGCCCCGGAGCCTCTACCACACGCGGCCTCCTGGCCTGGGGTCTCCGGGGAGAACCCCCCCGCCCTCTCTAAGCCGGCCTGGTCTGGCTTGTCCCCGGAAGGATGGCGTTCCCTCTTTCCCGAGAACACACGTTCCGTTCTTTCCCATCCCAGGAGTCTCTGCAGGGACTCAGGAAAGCGGAAATAGTAACGGGAAAGGAGACAGCATCATACTCTGCCGGGCCCGGGCCAGGCTTCCTTACCTTTCTGCTGAGTCTGCGTTTCCGACGTGGTGGTGAGGACGACGGGTCAGTCTGGAAGCAGGAGATTAGCAGGAGGAAGAGCCACAGTCCACACAGGAAGGCGAAGGTGGTCCCGGTCGTCCAGGAGGAGGGGCTGGAGCTCAGCCAACCGGCGCTCATGCTTTTCAGAGCCAAGAGAATATTCTCCATCTCTTTCCTGGAAGAAGCATTAGCGCCTGGTCCCACTGCTGCCCTCACATGACTGAGCACTGAGCTTGTACTTGGGGACATCACATCACAGAGCCGTGGGCTGGTCACAAAGGGCTCCTGAGGGCAGGGAGGGAACAAAGGCAGCTGGACCTCAGCCCCTCCCCGCTGCCCACCCTGCAGGTGCGTCCCCCACCCTCTGGCACCTCCAGGACCACCCCCTTCCCCTGCTGGAGGTAGACCTTTGTCAATGTGCTATTCGTTCCCCCTGGAACTCAGATAACACCTGCTTCCTTTGAGATCTCAATTTGCGCTCCACCAATTTCATAGCTTTTAAAACTCTGGATTGTCCCTGAAATTTTTGGTTAATTCCCAGGGAGTTTTTTGTGCTTCTTCAGCCGTGTGAATTTTGAAAACATTTTTAAATGCTTTGTGTCAATTAATAAATAATCTTCAGCTAGAGGGACTTAGAAAATTAAATTAATAATTAGTCAAAACCAGAGCGCTTGGTTGAGCATCTGACCCTTGATTTCGGCTCAGGTCACGATCTCATCGTTACTGGGTTCAAGTCCTACGTGGGGCCGGTGGGGTGCTGACAGTGCGGAACCTGCTTGGGGTTCTCTTTCTCCCGCTCTCTCTGTCCCTCCCCCACTCACGTGTGCACTCTCTCTCTCTCAAAATCAATAAACTTACAAAAGATTTATTCAGAATTTACAAAGCTAAGCATAAAACAAATTAAAACAACTAAAACTTCAATGTTAGTTTTTCTTAAGTTTCTAGCATTTTTGCTTCTGAAGCCAGTAGAGTTTAAAGTGCAGAAACACTTTTAGAACATTCTATCTACAGAACATACACACACACGTACATTCTTTAACAAATCTAGCATTTTCAAATCTAAGAGGCATTTTTTTTTCTAGTTCAAAAGGCTTCCGTCAGTAACTCTTGTAAGTTTGTATATCTGGAAAAAATCCTTTGGTCTACATTTTGGAAGGACAGATTAGCTACATATGGAATTCTGGGTTGACCAAACTCTTCCTTTCAGCTTTTTTTAAAAATTTTTTTAAATTTTTATTTATTTCTAGGAGAGAAAGAAAGAGATAGCATGAGCAGGGGAGGGTCAGAGAGAGAGAGAGACGCAGACTCTGAAACAGGCTCCAGGCTCTGAGCTGGCAGTCAGCACAGAGCCCGACGCGGGGCTCGAACCCACGAACCGCGAGATCATGACCTGAGCGAAAGTTGGTCTCTCAACCGACTAAGCCACCCAGGCGCCCCAACTTCCTTTCAGCTTTTTGACTATTGCCATCTCAAAACGTTTCCTTGTTTGGTTCTGATTAAAAGTCAGTGGTTAATCTGACTGTGGTCCTCTGGAGTAGAAAGTTTTTGTCTTCCAATTTCAAAATTTTCCCTTTGGTTTTCCACGGTTTGATTGTGATGTATCTAAGAGCAGATCTGTTTGCTTTTATTTTTCTACAGCTAAACATCAAATCTATAGATTCCGATCTTCCATCAAATCTGGCTGGTAAGGCTTCGGCCATTATTTCTACAAGTATTTTGTCTTCCTTCCCTTTTCTCCTTTATTTCTGAGAACACTCCCTTAAGTAGAATAGAAAAGAACTTCCAAATGATTCCACATTTCTCCAAGGCTTGCAGCAAAATGTTGCCCATGAGCCTGAATTTCTTAATATTCAGGTTAGTGTCTAGAAAGTGGTTTAGGTGCTGAGAATTCCTTTGATACGGAGTGTTTGCTGGCGACTGAGATGGGGGTGTGAGTTAGTGCCCTCAATTTGGAAAATGCTTTATCACGACCCAGGGTCGCCTGAAGAGAGCGGGCCCTTTTTTTTTTTTTAATGTTTTATTTATTTCTAGGAGAGAGAGAGAGAGAGACAGCGTGAGCAGGGGAGGGTCAGAGAGAGAGGGAGTCACAGACTGAAACAGGCTCCAGGCTCTGAGCTGGCAGTCAGCACAGAGCCCGACGCGGGGCCCGAACCCATGAACCGCGAGATCATGACCTAAGCGAAAGTCGGATGCTTAACCGACTAAGCCACCCAGGCGCCCCTAGAGTGGGCCCTTTGACAGAGCGATTTCTCTGCTGGAACTAGAGAAGCTTCCCCATTTTGTAATAACAAAATATGGGGAACAACCCAGTCCGGTCAGGTGGAAAATACTCTGTGATATGCCGAGTATGATGCTCACACTAACACAAATGGAATACAGCTTAACGTCGGCAGAGTAAATTATGTAGGAAGAGAAAATTTTGAAATTGCGAGACAAAAACTTCTCTTTCCACTGAGCAAGAAGTAAAATAAAATAGGGGCATCTGGGTGGCTCAGTCGGTTGAGCATCCAACTCTTGGTTTCGGCTCAGGTCATGATCTCACGGTTCCTGAGTTTGAGCCCCAAGTCGGGCTCTGCACTGACAGCTCAGAGCCTGCTTGGAATTCTCTCTCTCCCCCCACTCTCTCTGCCCCTCCCCAGCTCATGCTCTCTCTCTCTCTCTCTCAAAATAAATAAATATTTAAAAAGAAAAGAAAATAAAGGTTATTTGCAGAAAAATTGTACACAATGATTCCATTTGTCCCAATTTCAAAGCTATACAAAATAAAATAATATGTTATTTAGCAATGCATTTACTTTGATAAAAATATAAAGAGAACACTGAGAATAATGAATGGGGTCGATGGCCAGGGGGAGGGATGTACAGATGTCCCTGAAGATATGGATAAAACTGCATTTTTTTAGTCAGGTTGGGATGCTTATGGGTTCCTTTTTATTATTCCTTACATCTTCTATATGATTTATACATGTTAACTTTTAACTTTCATTTATTTTTTAAAATTTTTTTAACTTTTAACTTTTAAATGCTGAGACACAATGTAAACAACCCTATTGGAAATAAAATTGAACATAGCAAAAAAAAAAAAAAAAGAAAAAAAGTCTTGTTCTCAACACCTTAAAGATCCCAATGTGACTTTCCGTTTTCAGGGGGCGTTTTTCCTGCTGACTTCCCACTGCCCTGTTTACACGTGCCGTATTCAAGCAAACTCGCTTCTGACAGTTTCCAAACCTAAAATACAACATGCAGATCTGCGATTCTCCGTGGGTGGTACTTGCTTCCTCATGGCTAGAGATCTTCAGCAGTAAATGAAGGTAGTGGACTGTGGCTGTCACCCTTGCCGAGCTCTGATTGTACCGGGCGTCGGGCCAGCGTACAACCCGGGCTCTTAGAGCAAGGTGACCGTGACTCGACAGGAAACAGATCAGACCAGACCTCACACTTATGGAGGAGCCTTTCTTAAAGCACGGAGGAGGAGGAGGCACAAATGTATTTGAATTCAGGCCGGCGACCTTTAGGCTAACCAGCCCTGAGCTGGCCATGTGACAGATAAAAGGTGATTTTCCTAAATAAAATACGGGAAAAACTAAAAACTTGAAACATAAAACTGCCTTTGGAGAAATTTAGAGGTGACTTGCATTTTGCTTGTTTAGTTACAAATATTGATCCAAATGTTTTTGGGTAATATGTATAATTTTATAAGAAAACCACAAAGCTTCTGTGTATTTACACTGGACAGACATCAGCAGGGTACTGTTTTGGGGCTGGTGTGACATCCGGCTCGTTACATGCATCTTAACGACGCCGATGCTCGTCGAGATGGGTTCCGGCTGTGTTTTGCCTCCTCCTGGTGCTTCCTCTGATACTTTATAAGATCTGTACCACCAGGCCTCTTCTGTGATGAATGCCAAGGGTTGATAAATGCTTTCCTTGGGAGTACTCGCTCACCAGCCCGGGTCGTAACATCGAGTGCTTTAGTGCCTCTGTGCCCTCTATCCAAATTCAGGAAGGTAAATTGAGGACCAGTCCCAAACTCCAGGCCAGAGAGACGTGCATCCCCTGAAACAGACAGAATGTCCAAAGGATTCTACGTTTCTCCCAGGCTTTCAGGGAAATGCTGCCCGAGAAACTCAATTTCCTCACATTCCTGTTAGTCTCTAGAAAGTAGCTTTGGTTCCAATATAAACATTTTTGTAAAGAAAGCCAATTTGGTGAGATCTGAAGGGTAAAATTTTCACCGTGCTTCTCGCTACACAGAGGATGCTTTCGCCGCATATAATCTATACCCTGTTAGCTTGCTATGATTAATTAAGGTGCATCCACTTTGCCTCATTACCCAGGACTTTTCATGGACAGCGCAAGCTGCGCACATCAGATGATGTGGTAATGTGTCTTCCATCATCAGATTGGCTAACATAAAAACTGACGCTGGAGGAGGTGAACAGTAACAAGTGCTCTAATATATGCTGGTGAAGTGCGAATGGTTGTCATCTACTCTGGAACATAAAATGGAGAGCATGAATTTTCAGAGATCCGATGCAGAAAGTGGTAAATCCATGTTGTTGCTATATAAATGGGCAATGTGGGGCGCCTGGGTGGCTCAGTCAGTTAAGCGTCCAACTTCGGCTCAGGTTATGATCTCCCGGTTTGTGAGTTTGAGCCCCGCATCGGGCTCTGCGCTGACAGCTCAGAGCCTGCTTGGGATAGTCTCTCTCTCTCTCTCTCTCTCTCTCTCTCTCTCTCTCTGTATCTGTCCCTCCCCCACTTGCACACCTACTCTCTCAAAATAAATAAATAAACTTTAAAAATTTTTTTAAAATGGGCACTGTGACCTAGAAAAGGACCAAAGCGAATTCCAAATCGTATTTCACTTAAAAATATTTATTTTGAGCAGATGCGTGCTTCTCTGAAACTTCTAAGAGTTCTTACAACTTCATTTGACAGCAGACACCCTAGGATCACCACAGGGCCCCACTGGTGCTGAGCGCCAGCTGTCCCTTCAAGGGTCACACAATGTCAGAAATAGAAAATAGTAGGGGCACCTGGGTGGCTTAGTCAAGCATCCAAATAATTTTGGCTCAAGTCACAATCTCACCATTGTGAGATCAAGCCCCCGTCTGGCTTTGCGCTGGTGGTGCAGAGCCTGCTTGGGGTTCTCTTTCTCTCTCTGCCCCTGTCTCATTCTCTCTCATTCTCTCTCTCTCTTGAAGCTTTTTAAAAAAGAAGTGGAAAATAGTATTTAAACTCTGCAAAGAAAGCTCTTTTGGATTGTTGCTTTAGTAAAAATGTACAATTCCCTTAACAAATCTGAGCTCTGGCCATCTCCCTAAGTGGAGCAGAGGAGGTAAGCCACAGTCAGTGACTTCAGCCCCTTAGCCTGGTCCGTAAGTTGACAGCACCCCACAGCCACCGTCACAGTCGCAGCTACATTGACTTCCAGCCCTGAGGCCAAGAAGTCCTGAGACATTTCCTAGTGACACATTCCCCGATGCCATGTTGATCTCTCCTCCCTGTTTTTATATTTGTGCTCTATGTAGAGGCATTCATCACATACCCATGCCATAAATATTCAGGAGAAATCCAGTGAGTGGATAAGAGAAGCTTGCTTTGAAAAGACTTTCCAAGGGGGATATTATTTGTAAAGGAGACAGAGTTTTTTCCCCACAGCATATGGCACATTTTGGAGGATGGGTTGTTTTCTATTTTGTTTACTATCATTTTGAAAGCTCAGATGTCATGATGACTCATTGGCATTTCATTTTACGTAATTGTGCAGCCCTTCTTATCGTTGTTTCTTTCAGATGTCAGCCAGTCGTGCATGGCCACATTTCTGTCTTTTTTTTTTTTAATTTTTTAATGTTTTATTTATTTCTGGGAGAGAGAGAGAGAGACAGAGCTTGAGCAGGGGAGGGTCAGAGAGAGAGGAAGACACAGAATCCGAAACAGGCTCCAGCCTCTGAGCTGTCAGCACAGAGCCCGACGCGGGGCTCGAACCCACGAACCGTGAGATCATGACGTGAGCCAAAGTCGGGACACTCAACCGACTGAGCCACCCAGGCACCCCACATTTATTTCTTCGGTAAGCAGCTTCACCCTGCGTGGTCTGACCCACTCGTGACTCTGACAGGGGTGAGTCAGGTCTCCCACTCGATCCCAGGGATGGCTGACCCCGAGCCACGTGCCCTGTACCTGGCGTGATTCCCAGCGCAAGCTGCCTGACTTCCCAACTTCCTGACAAGGCTCGTTTCTATGAGATAATTCTGTGCTCGCTTGGGGACGAAGCGTCATTCTTAATAATCACACTTTTGGTTGACACGGCTATTCTTTATGCTCTGGCTTATGCTGATGTTGATGGATAGTCTATCAACAGTTCCCCAGAGGGAAGAAAACCATGGATGAGCTCTTCCGCAGGTAGTTCTCCGGGGAGGATCAAACCCTGGCTGGCTTTGCTCAGAGTTGGGAGAAACCTAACCTCTTGGCCTCACGGCCTCCGGGGAAGAAAATCACACTCTCAGATGTCATTGACGTATGGTTATATGTTCCTTTGTACTCGCGGTATCAGCTTTTTTATTTGATTAATTTTATTCTTATTATTACTTTCCTCTTATTTCATGTAGTTTCTGGATTTTCATTTAGATTTTTCTTCTCTAGGTTTTAGTCTAGAGCCCTAGACCTTTTCTATGCTTTCTTTAAAGGTAAATTATTGTGAATTTACTTGAGACTTTTGTTAGAAATTATAAATTAATTTATAATTAATAGCCAGGGCACATACCAATAATTTCTGAGTAAATAGGATGCCCATATTCTTTTTGTTTATTTATATGTTTATTTTACCTTTTTAATTAAAAATATTTGTTAATGTTTATTTTTTGAGAGTGGGATAGAGTGCGAGCAGGGGAAGGGCAGAGAGAGAGAGAGAGAGAGGGAGACACAGAATCTGAAGCAGGCTCCAGGCTCTGAGCTGTCAGCACAGAGCCCAAAGCAGGGCTCAAACTCACACACCATGGGATCATGACCTGAGCCAAAGTTGGACATTTAACTGACTGAGTCACCCAGGTGTCCCTATTCATCTTTTTTTTTTTTTTTAAAGAAAAATTACAAATGTTAAGTACTTTCTGCAGTAGCGTTCTAGGGTGTGTGTGTGTGTGTGTGTGTGTGTGTGTGTGTGTGGTACTTCTGTCTAACATGATACAATTATCCTCCACACAACTTCAAATGTACTAATACATTCCCTAGGGGGGTGATACAAAGTCCTTGGAGAGGTTCACTCTCCTCCTGAATAACCTGTAACTCAATTCCTATGGTGTAACCTCCATACATCCCACATTCTATGATAAAGGACTAAGAGGAGGAAAAAAGCAAAGATACAGAGAGATACCCACAAAAATATAACAAAATAGGGAAGAAACACTGCTAAGAATTAGAGTCCTTATTTCTGCAACTGGTCATGTGCTCATAGCTGTATTTACAATGACTTCTTCTGTTATTTGTTCTAGACACTTGTTGTCAGGCAAGCACCTCGGCCAGTCATGGCTCTTTATCTGGTGGGGGGTGACTGCAACTTTCGTTCCTGAGTTGTCCAGACAACCAGTGTCATACCTGGATGGGGTTGTTGTAGGTCTTTGATGATCTTTTTTTTTTTTTAATGTTTTATTTCTGAGAAAGAGAGAGAGACAGACAGCATGAGCAGGGGAGGGTCAGAGAGAGGGGGAGATACAGAATCTGAAACAGGCTCCAGGCTCTGAGCTGGCTGTCAGCACAGAGCCCAATGTGGGGCTCTAATCCACGAACTATGAGATCATGACCTGAGCCGAAGTCGGACACTTAACTGACTGAGCCACCCAGGCGCCCCAGGTCTTCGATGATCTTAACCATGGGGCAGGATAGCATGAAGAGACGTCCACAAATGTCGTCTCCTGCATACATAACCTTCCCTTCTCCACTGTGGAGTAGCGGCCTCCCCTTCTCTGTGTAGTCAGGGTCAGTGAGCACCAACTCTCATCTTTCTGTGCGGGGAGCCTGTGGTAGCCGGGCAGCAGTCTTAACTTTGAGTTCAGCGGAATCCTTGGTGTGCCTCCTGGTAGTAGGTCGTTCTTCCCTTTAAAGTATGGCCTCTAGAGCTGCAGAGTATGAGGTCACAGGAACAGGGAGCAAAAATCTCCCAGTGAGGTCACTAGGGTAACACGCACTCTCCTTTCTACCCCTAGGTTCCCTGACCCGTGAATCCTGACTGAAGGAGAAACAGCATTATATAGTGACCACTTGAGTTGGAGCACACACAGCGCCCCGGAGAACCTCCTCCCGGGACACGCTTTCCCTGTAAGTTATTGCCACCCAGCTGGCATTTAACTGAGCCTTCAAAAAGCCATTTCATTGTTTGGTTGACCCGATTGCTTCAGGAGGGTGGGAAGCACTGTAAGACCACGAATTCCACCATCATGGGCCCATTGTGGCATTCCCTCTGCTATGAAATAAATTCCTTGATCAGCGGCAGTGCTTCGTGCAGTACCATGCCAATGGGTAAGGCCAAGGGCAGTAGACTGGGTAGAAGCACTGTTTGCAGGGAAGGTAAATACATATCTAGAGCGAGTGTCTGTTATAGTAAGAACAAACCAACACTTTCTCTTCCAGGATGAAAGTGGTCCAATGCAATCAACTTGCCACCAGGTAGCTGGCTGGTCACCCTGGGGAATGGTGCCATATTGGATTCTGATGCTGGCCAATGGGACACTCAGCAGTGGTTCATAGCTTGCTTGGACTTGGTGAGTGGAGATAAGTGTTGCTAAGCCCAGATATAATCCCTGCCACTATGGCCACTTTGTCCACGAGCCCTTTGAGCAATGCCATGGATGACGAGGGAAAGAGGAAATAGTATCCACAGAGCAAGTCATCCTGTGTACTTGATTATTAAAATGCTCTCATGCTGAGGTGACCCTTCAGTGAGCATTCACATGAGATATAATATCTTTACATTTTCCAGCCATTCAGAGAAGTCCATCCATATATCTTCCCCCCAGTTCTCCTTGTCACCAATTTTCCAATCATGCTCAAGTCTTCGACTTTCCGGCCAAATCATTGGCTGCAGCTCCTCCATTGGTAAACAGTTGCATTTCTTGCCACTTCTTTCAAGTAAAATGAGTAACTAGGTGCGCTGCTCGAAGTTTAGCCCATTGGGAGCATTTTCCTTCATGGATGTCCCTGGGTGTGGTTGTATTGATGTAGCTTTCCACATTCAGGGAGAACCTGCATATATGCCAGAGGCATCTATGATCCGGGTATGACTTTTCTTTTCGTCCTTCAACCGATTATACGCAAGTCTCCATGAGGAGGCCGTAGGTGCATAAGGGGAGAGAAGGCAGCATCTCAGGAGAGGGCACCTTGCACATTCGAACCACTTCTTCCTGTAACTTATGTGTGCTATCCAGGACTTACTGGGCCCAGTCAGGTGTGTATCAGCCCCACTGGTGATGGAATGCTGCTTTAAATGTTCTGCTTTGTGGCATGGTGGGTCAGGTGACACCCAGTTCATGATGGGCGGTTCTGGTCACATGCTAAACTCAGTGGCCCAAGATTAAGCATCTCTACCAAAGCCCTCACACGGGTTATGAGGTCTAACAGGTCTTTTGTTTCTCAAAAGAAGAGTCATTATCCACAGGGGATGTCAGGGCTCTGTCCCCAAATCCTAAGGTCCTGTGCAAGAACGTGCTAAAGCTGCAGGTAGCAGCCCTCTCTGCCACTGACGCTTCAAGCACCATCGGAACCGCGGGATCACAGGGACCGAGTGAGAGAGCAGCCCACATGGCAGCTTGGACCTCTTGCAGAGCCTTCTGTTGCTCTGGGCCTGGCTCAAAACTAGCAGCTTTTTGGGTCACTCAATAAATGGACTGGAGCGACACATCCAAATGGGGACTGTTTGTCTCCAAAAGTCGGAGGGCTACTAGGGCATCTTGCCTCTTTCACAGGCGCAGGAGGGTCTGACGCGTCAAGTTATCCAAGTTAGAAGGGAATCTCCCATCATGCTTCACACCCCTGAACCCCTAGAAATTTCACTAAGGTAAAAGGCTTCTGTGTTTTGTCTGATCTATTTCCCAGCCTCTGACGCACTAAAGGCCTTCCTGCCAGTAATTCTAGAGTACTTGCCACTTCCTGCTCACTGTGTCCAATCAGCATAACATCATCAACGTAATGGGCCACGTGGTAGCTTATGGAAGGGAAAGGCGATCGAGAGCCCCATGAGCTAAGCTGTAACATAGAGCTGGGGAGTTGATACACCCCCTAGGTAGGACAGGGTAAGGTGTATAGTTGACCTGGCCGGCCGAAAGGCTTCTGAGGGTTTTACTAACAGGATGGAGGAGAAAACATTTTTCAAGTCAATGGCTGTATACTAGATAGCAGGGGAGGTGTAATTTGTTCGAGTAATGAAACTCCATCTGGTGCAGGACCATGGAGTCACCATCTGGTTAAACTTATGAGAATCCACAGTCCTTATTGAGGATCTATCTGTCTTCTGCAAAGACTGAATAGGTGAGGCACAGTGGAGAGGGGTAGACCATCCCCACCCCTGCGCCCCTCCTGTCCTTGACGGTGGTACTAATCTCTGCAATCCCTCCAGGAACATGCCATTACTTACGGTTTCCTGCTTCCCCAGGGGAGAGGCAGTTCTAGTGACTTCCACCTGGCCTTCTCACCGTAATAGAACTCACTCAATGGACTCAGGAGTCAATACAGAGATTCTGCCAGGTGCCAAGAAAGTCTTTCCACTTATGCGTTCCAGACCTGGGAAAATAACGAAAAATAAATTCAGGGATCTACTGAGCTCTGAGGTCAACCTGAGATAAATTCCGTTGACCATCTGATTTCCATAAGACTACTCTGACTGGTGGGCGACAGTGATGTTCTGGCCCCCCTGGAATTAGTGTCAAGTCAGAGCCGGTGTCCATGGTTTCTGAGAACTCTATTTTCTTTTCTGCGATGCGCAGTAATCCTGTAGAAGGCCGGGTTCCCGTGGGGAGGTTTGGGTGAAAGCTTAACAGCAAAATTTTTGATAATGTGATATAGAGTCACTCCTCTGGCCTTCCATCCCTTCGAGAGGTTTGGGTCTATAAACTGGCTCACGTCTGGGAATTGACTGAGAAGCCATGACTCTGTTTTTGTGACTTAAGTTAAGGTTTATTTTCTTGGCCTTGGATTCTTCTGCTCAAACAGATCAAGTATTGGGCTTCCCATTTCTTTCATTTCTAGGAACACAGTATCCAAGGGGCCAATGCCAGGGGTGTCTGTGAGGCTCTACTCTGATGGCTGCTTGGACTCTGCTATCCACTACTGTCTCCACCGTGGCCACCACGGCCACATTGCTTTTGCTGTGGAGTCCCACCTCTTGGCCCTTGCCATCCCAGATCCAATGAATTCTACTGTGTTTAGGTTTCTCAAGTATCACCACATCCCACTGTAAGATCTGGCCAACAGTGAGGAGCCGTCACAGAGCACTTTGAGGATTTGGGGCTCCCCTTACTAATTTATTTCTCACAGCCCTGGTAAACGGTGTGGCTTCTGGTCCCTCCCAGAGTGGAGCTAGAATGCCTCCAATGACAGCTATACTCTGACTTTCTCATCCCTCTGCAATGGACTGAATGTTTATGTCTCCTACATACGTTGAAATTCTAACCCTGAGTGTGATAGCCTTGGGAAGAGGTCCTTGGGGAGATGATTGGATCAGGAGGGTGGGCCGCTTGTGAATGGGGTTAGAGCCCTCATGAAAGAAACTCCAGAGATGTCCCCTCCCCCTGCCAGAGGAGGTCACAGAGAGAAATTGGTGCTTTGCAACCCAGAAGCAGGCCCTCACCAGAACCTGGCCACGCTGGCCACCTGATCTCTGCTTTCCAGCCTCCAGGACTGTAAGAAATGAGTATCTGCTGTGATTACACCACCCAGTCCATGGTGTTCCGTTATGCAGCCCACACTGGCTACGAAACTCCCCAAGCTTTGACCCCTTGCCTTGGTAAGACACCAAAACAGTTCTGGTGCTTACTTTCACTTTATTTAGTGTAAGGCGCCTTTTGGGTTATATTTCAGCCAACCGGCCAATCAAACAAACAGTTAGAACCCATTCCAAGTCAAAGCTTTATTAAATCCAGCATCTCTGCTTATTGGCCCATATCAACAAATCTGTCCTGATGCGCTTCCTGTTCCTTCGCCCTTATCCCATGCGCTCCAGGGAGCGACTCTTTCTACTGGCAAAGCAGACTCATCAGAATTTAGGCTTTCAGTTCCCAATACCTTCCCGCCTGTCCCCATGGTAAATGACTGCTAGTCTCCTGAGCCCCGTCTCCCAGACAGCCTTTCTTCTGAACCATGCCTGCAGATGTCAGCCTTGGTTTTTTCTGGTGTGACTTTGCTACTGAGAGTCTCTAAAACCTTTTGGACTGAGGTGCCTGGGCAGCTCAGTCGGTTAGGCGTCCAACTTCGGCTCAGGTCATGATCTCACTGTTCATAAGTTCGAGCCCTGCGTCAGGCTCTGTGCTGGCAGCTCAGAGCCTGGAGCCTGCTTCGGATTCTAGGCCTCCCTCTCTCTCTGTCTCTCTCCCACTCACACTCTGTCTCTCTCTCTTGAAAATAAATAAACATGAAAAGAATATAAAAAAATAAACAAAACCTTTTATACTTGCCCCTGTTTTAGAATGTGGCAACTTTCAGGGGTGGCTGGGCAGGTCAGAAATCTCTTGAGATTTCAGCTCAGGTCATGATCTCACGTTTGTGAGTTCAAGCCCCATGTTGGTCTCTCTGGTGACAAGGCAGAGTTTGCTTGGGATTCTCTCTCTCCCCCCTCTCTGCCCCTCCCCTGCTCATGCTCTCTCTTTCTCTCAAAATTAATAAAAATTAAAAAAGAAAATTAAAAAAAAGAATGTGACAACTTTCATACCAGCTTGGTATGCACAGTAAATACCTCTGAAGTTTTTTGTTTTTTTTTTAATTTTTTTAATGTTTTATTTATTTCTAGGAGGGAGAGAGAGACAGCGTGAGCAGGGGAGGGTCCGAGAGAGAGGGAGTCACAGACTGAAACAGGCTCCAGGCTCTGAGCCGGCAGTCAGCACAGAGCCGGACGCAGGGCTCGAACCCACGAACCGCGAGACCATGACCCAAGCGAAAGTCGGACGCTCAACCGACTAAGCCACCCAGGCGCCCCAATACCTCTGAAGTTTTAAAGCTCCTGATTCCCAGCAAAGAGTCCGGTCCCCTTGGTCTGGGGTGAGCTGGGCATCAGGACTTGCCAAGGCTCCCTGGTCATTCCAGTCTAGTGATTCGCACTGAAGAAGGAAGATGAGTAAGGCACCAGTCACCCACAAGGCGGTCAGTTCCAGTCCATTATGTAATGACACCATCGTTTGTGCTCTGGGTTAAAACATCAGTCTGATTTGGGCTTCAGTGTATTTCATACTCTGGCCATCCTGGCCGAGTTCCAGACGTGACCGCTGGGCTCATGTCTGCTGTCTGTGTCCCTGCGTCTGTAGCTTCTCAGCTTGAGGTCCTTTACTCTTCACCTGGATGGAGTCCTCAGCCTGGATCACAGGTCCTGACCCAGAGAAGTGACTTTTGGATTCAGAGAACCAAGCAGAGTCATGAAAGCCCTGAAAACCTTTAGATGCAGCACATCATCTGATGCTCCTGTGAGTCCTCAGCCCTCAGACGGTCCCCACCAGGTGTCTTCACCCCAAACGTGCCGAGACTCAGAGACCAGGGTGCGCTCTTCAGTCTCCGGTGCATCGTGCTCACGGGAGAAAATCTACTCCCTCTTCCCCTGCAAGCTTGCTAAAGGAAAGGAACGCATCACCATGTAGCCAGATAGACTAGCCCAAACTAATCTCAGATGGGAATAAATCTCATCTGGGCTGCACCTGCTTCCCAAGCCGGTTGTCATGATAAAGTTGGAACACAACTCTCCTCTTCATCCCCAGGACCTTTCCCCTTTCCTTCTGCCCTAGCTTTCCACGGTCTGACTTGTTTGCTGGTTACCGGTATACTTGAACTAAATCGCTAGTTTTCTGAGAGCCGACGCTCGCTTGAGCCTAGGAGTCCAAGAGTTTCCTCAGAGGGTAGCCACCTAGGCACCTTCTAGCTGGTCTGTGCTGAGATCCTAGACTCCCGGACAGAGACAGATGTTCTACATAAACCACTATGGCATCTAGTGGCAGGTGTGAGCCACCGTCCGCAACATTCAAGGGGGAGGCCTCCCTACCCAAATGCAGGTACCCAGACTGAAGACCAGGATCAAACTTGTAAGCGGGCACTTCTTTTTTTTTTTTTAAATGTTTTATTTATTTCTGAGAGAGAGAGAGAGAGAGAACGTGAGCAGCTGAGGGTCAGAGAGAGAGGGAGACACAGAATCTGAAACAGGCTCCAGGCTCTGAGCTGTCAGCACGGGGCTCGAACCCACGAACTGTGAGATCATGACCTGAGCCAAAGCCGGACACTTAACCAACTGAGCCACCCAGGCGCCCCGTAAGCGGGCACTTCTGAGGGTAGCAGAGAGGCTTACGGTGTCTGCTCTGCTCCGCTCATCTGTCAATCACTTTTGTGTTTACAGATCTAGCACATTTGTTCATGGTTCAGCCTGTTTTCAAAGCATCTCCACCGCGCTGTGTGTGGGAGACAGAAATGTGAGCAGATGAATAGTCTTTCTTATCAAAGAGTTCACCGTCCTGCGGGGGAGACTGACAGAGAAAGGAATAGTATGATACCGTGTGGTCAGTGCCAATACTGAGGATGCCTGGCTGGGTGCATGTTTGGGGTAGGAACCTAATTGCTGATGTTTATCAAATGTACAGGATGAAGTATACACATCTGACAGCTTGATAAATTTCTGTGAAATTAGTTTACACCTTTATATGGTTTCTTTTTCTTTTTCTTTTTTTATGCATGTAGAGGAAGAAAGAAGCACATTCTCTGAAAGCTCACAAGCCCTAAGGAGATAGAAAGCAAAGGACTATGGGATTCCCTCCTACAGGGCATAACTTTTGGAATCAAAGTTGGCCTCTTGCAGTGATACTTTTTTATGGAGCTTAAAACAGGAAGTTACCTCCGGATTCAGCCTGGTTTGGAAAAGCCCAGGCTGTTTGCTGATGAGATTGGTACCTGTTTTACCTCACGAATTAGAATATGCCAAAAGGCTGGAAGCTGTCGGGTGATATCCAAATATGACTTTGAGTTTGGACTAAATGTTAACATTTCTCCCCCTTTAACTCAAATGTTGGTGTAAAGCTTTAAATTCACCTAATTTGTTCCTCCCCTAAATCGTTCACCAGAAATGGACGCTGGTTTCCCTATAAAATCCAATAACCCATCTCCTCCACGCCTCTGGCTTCAGTGAACACGTATGAGCAGAGCAACTGTTACAGACGCTCCTCCCCTGGGGAGCACCAGCTGCTTTTCAGCCGTGTTAGTGATCGTCAAACACCCCTCAGACCCTCCAGGGTTTCAACCGGACCAGGAGCTGGCGCTATGGCCTGGTCCGTGAGCCCAGCCGGAGTCCCAACGCTTCACCTCTGCTGTCTTTGTCTCTCAGGACCCAGTGATTGTGGTCTCCTCCTCAGAGTAGTTCAGATTCAGCCACGTAAGTCTTTCTCCCCCGACATCAGCCAGACCCAAGGGACCTGTTGCCCTTGACTTCTTCAGGCGCCTCCTCACTGACAGATCTGCTCCCCTATTCACCTCTTCCCGTCTGCTTTTCTTCCGTTGCACCCAGAGCAGTCTTTTGAGAATCTTTATCAAGTGTCTCAGTCCTCTCCTTCATACGCTGTAAAGGCTATCCTCTGTATATCTATATAACGATATCTTATACTTAATGTATAATGTATAGAATTATATATAGTATAATTATAGGGGAGGCAGATAGCTGGGGCTCTACTCCAAACACAACAAAGAAAGGGGCATTTAGAGCCAAAGGTGGGGGGTGAGGGCGGGTAGAATTATATACAGAATGTAAAATTATATACAATTATATGTAAAATGTATATTATTATTATGTAAGTACATATATAATTTTATAATTATGTAATATAGAAATATATTAAATATATAATGTAGAGATATATTTAATATATTTACATACTTAGATGTTTATTTGTTTTAAAATATTATTTACTAAATATTAATGTCTATTTATTAAATAAAATATTTAGAAATATATTAAGTATATGTCTGCATTATTTAATCTATCCCACGAAGAAGTATTAAATGTTACTAATTATTAACATAACAATGCATCATCTAAAGCATTATTAAAATCCCTCGTATGCTGCCTGGTCAGAGCGTGGGCTGTGAACACTGGAGGCATGTGTGGTCCTCCTGCTGTAAGTCACCCTGAGGTGTGCTTCTCCCCGTTTGCAGGAGCCAGGGCAATTATTTAGTAAATTTGGATCTATGCTTAGGCTGTGTCCCTTCAGAGATGAGTTACCCGCTCTTTTCCCTGATCCTGACGATTGCATTTTTACTGACGTGAAGTTCAGATAACACGTAATTTACCATCTTAGAGTCTACAACTTACTGGAATTGAGCTCATTCACAAATCTGTGTCACCATCACCTTTCTCCAGATTCAAACATTTTTATTGTCCCAAAAGCAGATGCCGTACTTATTAGGCAGTCGCTGCCTTTCCCCGCCCCCCTCAGCCCCACGCCCTGGCAACCGTGAATCTGTTTTCTATCTCTATGGATTCACCTTTTTTAAATATTTCATACAAATGGAATCGCGTAATATGTGATCTTTTGTGTCTGACATCTAGTGCCGATCATGGTGTGTTTGAGGTTCATCCATGCTGTAGCATGTATCGGTACTTTATTACTCTTTTTGAGTCTATTTATTTATTTTGAGAGAGAGATAGAGAGAGTGAGAATAAGGGAGGGGCGGAGAGAGAGGCAGAGAGAACCCCAAGCAGGCTCCATGCTGTCAGCGCAGAGCCCAGCACAGGGCTCAAACTCACAAACTGCGAGATCATGCCCTGAGCCAAAATCAAAAGTCAGGCACTTAACTGACTGAGTCCCCCAGGCGCCCCAGTACTTTATTATTTTTTATGGCTGAATAATAGTCCACGGTATGAGTAGACCACATACTGTTTATCCGTATCCTGAATATTCTGTCTGTGGGATTCCCTGTTTTCACCTCATTCCCCTTTGGCAACAGTCTCTTCTGTACCCCAGGGCATTTGCACATTACTGTTTCCTAATTTTAAAAACTTCAGTTACTTAAAGTAAGTGAGTTGCCTTCCTCTGTACAGAGATTAATATAACCACTGGTCCACCAACACCTTTCTCTCCTTATAGTGTTTTCCCCTCTCATCCTCATCCTATGCTATTTTTCTCTGCAAATATGTGGAGAAACTTAATATGCTTGGTGTGTGTCCTTAAAGATGCCTGCAGCCTGGTAAAATATATGAGTGCTTTGAACATGAGCTTTTACTCTATGTGAATAGTTATGTGCTAGAAATCTCATTGTACATCTTACCCTTTTCTCTGTGCTCTCTGGATCTACCTAGGTGGCTGCATGTACTTCCTCCTACTTTGGGCTTTTCCTTGTTCCAGAGTGTTCCACGCACCAGCTCTGCCTTTCTCATCTATTCCACTAATCATATGATATGTTCTTTCTAATTCCCTGTTGCAGCAAACTCAGCCCTTTCCTGTGGCTCCTTCTGGACAAGTGTAAGAGCATCTCTCAGATATAAGCCCAGGAATGAGATAGCAGGTCAGAGGACATACTCTCACTTTATTTCATTGAACGCCCCTCAGATTTGTTTCCAGAATGCTCTGTGATTTACACTCACACAGAAGGACTTGAAAGATTGTTTCCTCACATCATGGCCAACACAGATTATCGTTATCCGCCTTATTAGTCACCTTGATGGATGTGAAGTATATCTTATTGTTTCAACTTCTGTTTCTTGGCTTACTCATGAATTGAGCATCTCTTCACCAAATGGACTGATAATGTCCTTTTCTGGAAATTGCCCATCCTTAGCTTTTGTTGATTTTTAAAAATAGGAGCCTCTTAGCTCTATTGCTGCTGTCGTCTTCATAGTTCACTTGTAAGCATTTTTGGATATGCTAGACTTTGATCTATCGTCTTTTATTTTTTTTTAAGTTTATTTATCCATTTTGAGAGAGAGAGAGAGCGAGCGAGCACAAGTGGGGGGGGGCAGACAAAGGGGGAGACAGAATCCCAAGCAGTCTCCGTGTTGTCAGTGCAGAGCCCAACGCAAGGCTCGAACCCACAAACCATGACATCATGACCTGAGCTGAGATCAAGAGTCAGATCCTTAACTGATTGTACCACCCAAGTGCCCCTATCTGTTATCTTATCGATAGGTTTCAAAAATACACAGTATGCTTTGTACACTTGTACCCTGGATGTCAAAGTTTCCTCCGCCACTCTGTGGATGTCTAATGTTGATTAGAAATGCGTAATTGTCTTTGATGTTTTTGCTGTGTTTATAATGTTTTCCCCATCCCTAGGTTGGCCTTATATTCTCATCTTTCTTCTTTTGATCTTTAATCTATTTAGAGCCCAACTCTGGTTCCAACAGCTGAATAAATAAATAAACATGGGAAAAGGAGCAAGCCACCTCTACAGAAAAATTCCAATTAATGAATGCAGACAGAAAGAGGGAAACAGAAAATCACCATTGGAACATCACAGCGATATTGCTGCAGGCAATATTCATGGATGAATGCCAACTATTTATTAATCACTATGATGGTTTTAACATATGTCCACAAATTATTTGATATTTCTCTTTCCAGGAGGTGAAGCTTAATTTCCCTTCTGTTGAGTGTAAGCTGGAATTAATGACCCATTTCTACGAAATAGTGAAAAGAAAGGGAAAAATAGTGACTCTGCAGTAGAGGAACCAGGCAGGCACGAATGCGACAAAGGTTAATGTCACCATGAATAAGCCGTGTTAACCCATTATCTCATTATACATGACACAATGTAATGAGACAGTCACAGCACCTCTGTACTTGTCCTTCCAAAAAGCTATTCCTCCTCAAGTCTTCCCAGAAACCCCAGCTTATCGTGGGAAAACATTAGACGAACCCAAATCAGGGGCCATTTTATAAAATACCTGACTGGGGCTCTTCAAAAGCATCAGGACAACAAAGAACAGATTGATAAACTATCTCATTGTGAAAAAAAAAATGCAAACCTTAGGAATCACGGTCACTACATGCAATGTGGAATCCTGGGATGGCAGTGGAAAAACGAGTTACATGTCAGTCAAGCCTGCAGTTTGGTCGATCATAATGCATCAGTGTTAATTACTTAGTATTGGTAACTGTACCGTGATTATGTTAGATAACATTAGGGGAAACCGAGTCAAGCCTATTTGGGAACTCTGTGCCTTTTGCAACTTTTCTGTAAAACTAAATGAAAATAAAAATTCATTTCAAGATAAAAAGTAAAAGAAAAAATGCAACTTAACACTTTACAAATGGTATAAAAATCCGGAGAGAACTTTCCCTAGCAATGTGGCATGGAATGTACTTTTGTGGCTGACAAATGTGACACAGAAGAGGCTTCCAATAAAGCAGCAGGGCGAGTAACAGCCTCTACCTAAAACCAATAGTTAAAGACCAAACTGAGGGCCCTACAGTGTCACACACACAAAGGGGTCCTGGATCCTAGACACACCCATGGGTACAGAGGTGCTTTTGGTGATCTTGAAACAATTTTTATTTTATTTTTTAAACATTTATTTATTTTTAGAGAGGGGGAAGAAGAGAGAGAGAATCTTGAGGAGCTCCAGGCTCAGCACAGAGCCCACTGCGGGGCTCGATCCCATGACCCTGGGATCATGACCCAAGCTGAAATCAAGAGTTGGATGCTCAACGGACTGAGCCGCCCAAGTCCCTCAATCTTGAAACAAGTTTCCTTCCAAGTCCACTGTAAGTGTATCTATGCTTTATGCTGCCTCTGGGTGCTGGGTGAGTGGGATGCTGGGTGAGGGGTCCCTGGGTGCTGGGTTGATGGGTGGTGAGTCTCATGTCATCATCTAGATCTTGCCTTAAACCCTTGATTCCAAGACCGTGGTCATAGGGCTGAGTCAATGGCAAAGTGACCCAGGAGTCTTCAGAACTTTGAGTGTTGGCATCTGTCCCCCGCCGCCTGTGGCATTGTCTGTTTCCACCCCTGGCAGCCGGGGCACTCAGAGCAAAGCAAATCAACTGCTTGAGGACAAAGCATCAGAGGACAGTCTCCCTGAGTCTCACCCGGTTCTAAAGACCTGGCCTTTCCCGAGAGGGATGGGGGCGCCACTTGGCGCCGCTCTGATGGACCCAGGGTGCCGGGAGGGCGATGTGCTCACCAACACCGTGTCCAGGCCTTACTGGCCCCTCCTCCCCTCGCCAAGGTCCTTGTGACTGTCCAGAGGTGAAAGGCCAGACGTGCCTCAGTCCTCAGCAAAACAGAAGGAAACTCCGAGGGTTCCCCCACCGCACTGCGTTCTGCCCTTTCTCAGGCTCTAAAATGTGAGGGCATTCTCCAGGTGCCTTCCCGTCACTGCATCTCTTCACTCCTTCCTCATTAATCCATTCCTTATAAATCCACTATAAAATCCACTTCTGACTCCACAGCCTCTGCCCACGTTTCTCGATTCAAAGACACCACAGTAACTAATTACTCCCTCTCACTGTTTTTAGTTGCTTCGGTCCATCCTAAGCATTGCTAAACACACATCAACCTTTTGCCCTAAAACATGGCTTGATCAGCTTATTATTTTTTTTTAAGTTTCCTTATTTATTTTGAGAGACAGACAGAGAGACCAAGACGGGGAAGGGGAGAGAGAGAGAAGAGAGAATCTGTGCATTGTTAGCATGGAGCCCGACGCGGGGCTCGAACTCACAAACCGCGACATCATGACCTGAGTCAAAACCAAGAGTCAGATGCTTAACTGACTGAGCCTCCCAGGCGCCCCTTGATCACCTTATTTCCCTGGTCCAAGCTCTGCAAGGCTCCCTGCCGTGGACCAGGCACTTGGTGTCCAGCCCACTCTGCACTGTCGCTGCCACTCTCTCCAACTTGGTGACCACCATCTCCCAGCCTGGTTTGCACCTTTCCTTTTTGCGTTTTTTTTTTTTTGTTTGTTTGTTTTTTTAATTCCCAAAGAAAGTTTCAAAAGGCCCAGGTCCAAAGGAATTTAAGACTCACTTGGCTGAGTCCACTCATGACTCCCATTAAAACGTGTCTTCAAGGGTCGCCTGAGTGGCTTAGTCGGTTGAGCGTCCGACTTTCACTTAGGTCATGATCTCGCGGTTCGTGGGTTCGAGCCCCGCGTCGGGCTCTGTGCTGACTGCCAGCTCAGAGCCTGGAGCCTGTTTCAGAGTCTGTGATTCCCTCTCTCTCTGACCCTCTCCTGCACACGCTGTCTCTCTCTCTCTCTCCTAGAAATAAATAAAATATTTTTAAAAAAATTAGAAAAAAACAAACGTGTCTTCAAACAATTAACAGTGTAGATGCCTGAGGAAAATCAAGGGCACCAGCAGAGGCCAGCGCGTTGCAGCATGAATGGGGGCGCGGCGGGGGGGCGGTCTGTGAAACTCTATGCAGACCGAGGGGGCATCTCGGGAATAGGGTGTCGGTGGGTGGATGAAGTCAGAACAGTTAGCAAAGAACTGGAACATGGAAGTCCTTTTATACAACGTCCAATATTGTAGACCTTCACTGTGGGCTGGGCGTGTTCAGCAAGGGGAGTCACCAAAATAGGGTCAGGACAGAAAGCACAGTGAAATGCAGAGAATCCCGAGAAGAGGCTTACGTAAGGGAGTGACAATCCATTCCTGCATATACAAGACCACCTTGGTAACTGTGCACGGAACACCCCCACCCCACCCCCTTCTTCTGTTCTCTTCTTGTTTCTCTGCATGTTTCCTCAGCCAGTGGTTTTCAGACTGAATCCACCAGCCACCGGGTCCCTGTGTTTTTCCTCCGGTGGGGGGGGGGGGGGCATGAGCATGGAGGTGACGGAGTGGAGGCTTGAGCAAAGCCCCAGAATTTCACCAGCCTCTCGTGGTGAGCTTTGCTAAGAGTTGCACGCTGAGAACACGGAGCTCCCCCTGCACAGGCTGGGCCCATCTCAGTTCTCCCATGACACAGAGGGGAGGCGATCCTGAGGGTCAAAAATACCCCTCCTGCTGATTTTCGGATTCTTCTCTGGAAATGGTTTCTTTCTTTTTAATGTTTATTTCTTTTTTAAGAGAGAGAAAGGCAGACACAGAGACAGAGCGTGAGCAAGGGAGGGGCAGAGAGAGAGAGGGAGACACAGAATCCGAAGCAGCTTCAGGCTCTGAGCTGTCAGCACAGAGCCCGACGCGGGGCTCGTACCCACGAACTGTGAGATCATGACCTGAGCCAAAGTCAGACCAACTTAGCCACCCAGGCACCCTTGGAAATGGTTTCATTCAGAGATGAGACAAAGTTGTAAACCTGGAAGCAACAGGTGTATTAAATGACTCCTGGGGTCTTTCCCAACTTTATGAGTCTGTAACTTAGTGGTGGCTTCATGCTCAGTTGCTTGTCTTCCTGTCCAGAAGTGAGTTGCCTTTTTTTTTTTTTTTTTAAGTTGGCTTCACATCCAGTGCAGAGCTTGAATTCATGGCCCTGAGATCAAGATCTGAGCTGAGGTCAAGAGTGGGATGCTTAACAGACTGAGCCACCCAGATGCCCCTGCCCAAAGTTAAGTTATTGATTCCCAGGAATGGAATTCTCCAATTTGGAAGCTAATGACTTTGTTCATCAAAGGAGCTGGTGTGGTTATGTTATTCATTTGTAACAGAGTCAGCTTCCATTGTTAAAGTTTATGTTCCTTTTTGGTTACTCCTGCATCCTGGTTGATTTTCCTAGGTAACATATATCAGTTAAGAGTTCACATTAATTAACTGTATTCCTACACATTGTTGCATGAATCAGTAGTTCCTTTTGTTAATGAGTCATGTTCCACTGTATGGACATACCACAGTTTAATTCATTCCCCTGTTGAAGGACTTCTAGATCGCTTCCACTTTTCCATGATTGTGAAAGAAGCTAGATTTATAACGAAGACTGGTAACCTTTATTAATTCACAAACGGAAACCAGTGAAGGAGTTTATTTATCCCCCTCACAGCCCACTATCCCAACGGGCTCTCTCGGTCACCAGCGGTCTCCGAAGGAAGAAAAAAGGAAATGTGATTTGACCTGACTGGCTTTCTTACCCCTGAGGGAGAGAGCAGATGGCCCTGGAAAGCCTGAGAGAAGGAAAGAGGGGATAGGAAAACCACTCCTTGCTCCTTCGGTGAAAGCCGTAGCAAAGTGTGAAGGTTGAATTCTTCTTCCGGAAGGGGAAGGCAAGGGCTCAGAGGACGGACACACAGGAAATTCAGACTTAGAGGTGACTGCATGAGATGGACTTGGCCGTGCTTCCTTCTTTTGGAACACCTACCATAAAAAATTGTTCCTCAGATTGTCACAGGCTGTCCCAGAAGGTAGTTCTGGTTAGATTTTCTTGAGTTGGGTGTAGATACAGGGTAATGAGAAATAAAATGTTAAAGACATGATATAGCTTAAAAAGCAATAATGTAAGACAACAGAGCATAATTGCATACAGGACCTTGAACTGGGAAAGTAATCTAAATTCTTGACTCATTTCATCATGGTGTAATTTAATAAAGGCCCGAGAACTCTTCAGAAACTTAGAGTGAACAGAGACACTGCAACTTCAATATACATTTTAAATGTGAGCACATTTATCCGATACACAAGACATTCTGCATTAAATGAGTAAACCCTAAGAGTGGATGTTTGATTTTGAAAATTAAAGAGACTGTTTCCTACGCAACCCGGACACTTGGTCTTTGGAACACAGGACTGTTCCATGTCCCGGGTGTCACGTCCACCTGCTGCGACCTGCGGAGGCCGCGCCCCGCAGCCCCTGTCCCTCAGCCCTGGCGGCCCTTAGCCCCCTGCTCTGCGGGCCACGCCTCCTGTCTCCTGTCTCCACCGCGGCGCAGGTGGCTGGCTCCCTGTTACCAGGGTCTCCAACGTGAAAGCGCCCCCGACACACACACAGTCCCAGACGCTCCCTGAAGGCCCGCGTGTCCCACACTCCGGCCAAACGCAGTCATCAAACGCTCGTGGGAGCGGTCAGAAGACTCTGCGAGCGCCCCTCTCCCTCGCCGCCCTTCCCGGGACTGCTCACAGCCCCCCGAGAGCGGCGCTGCCACCCGCCCGCCGCCCAGCCCTCTGCCGCGGGCCTCAGGAAGGAGGCTGAGCGCACACCTGCCTCGCGCCCGGCCCCGCGGGGCCACGCCGGGCAGCGTGGGGTTAGGGACCGGAGACAGACGGGACCGGGGCGTCCCTCGCGCGGCTCCG